ACTTTTAAAAACATTTTTCACAGATATTTGGTATCAAACCGTAGCAACTGGTTTTGTAGCCAAACAAACAGTCAAAGCAACACTAAGAGACTTACACCGATTGTTGACACAGTTGTAATCCGCGTTTGGGTCAAATTTAATTTAGCTTAAAAAACAGATATACAGATACGTACATACAGATATATATATATACTGTCTCTTATACACATCTAGATGTGTATAAGAGACAGTTACTCAAATGAACACCAAGCTTAAGAATATTTGTATCATGTCTTTGAGAACGAGCAAAATCTTTTCGACCATGTAATTTCCAATGAAAAGGATGAACTAAAGTTTACCTGTATCCGAGTAGGATAGCCCTATAATATACATGTCACTTCATACGATATGCAGCGGATTCGAACCCACGGCCATTCGATTGGAAGGCTGAATCCGTAGGTGGTTCGAATCAACTACATTAGTAAAAATAAATTAGACCAGTCTTTCGGAATAAACATATGCATATGAATGTCAAATTAGCCCAATTCTGAAAGTGTAACTTAGAGTTCGAACAAAACATACGTAGTTAATGTACACCCAGTTTCTAAATCAAAACGACCAGATATGTAATGAATTTTCAAATTACACAAGCAAAAGGGTATTAAATGAAAACAAACGTAAACAAGTGTATAGAGTAGACGCTGCTGGAGTAAACCAGACCGTCGTTTCCGATTCAGAAAACTCAAATCTGCTCTATGTTTTTTTTTGTTTCCCAGTTGCAATCAACTTTGCACTTTAATGTGTTGACAAAACGACTACTTGTTATCCCGATATTATTCCCCGTAGGTTCGCTTTACGATGTCTTATTGTTTTTACGGAAATAAAGCAACGAATAGAACGCTTAACCTGTATTTAAATGTATACTTGACATAATAACTTTAGCCTAGTAGTGTTTTACAAATATTCTCGATCATCCCATTAGCTCTAAAGTGGACGTCTCATGATAACTGTTCCTACTACTCACAAATGCATCCTACTGTGCTAGCGCGAACGCGTAAATTTTCAATAAGCATACTTAAGCAGAGAAAGACAAAATTATGAACTAAATGTTTAACTGTCCTTTTAATCCAGTTTCATTAATTAAGTTGGAACGTTTCGCTTTGCTATTTTTTAAATAAAGGAAAGTAACGGTCCAGTTTGTATATGGACCACAGAACAGGATGGTCTAGGAAAAGATGATCTCAGAACAGACCTAGACATCGTCTAACGTCTAACGCCAAGTTTAAAGTAGGCCTATGTCCACAGTTTAAATTAGGAACTACAATAGAATTAAACATGCGCGCACTATGATAGTACCCTCGATATTTTTACTAATCGTTTTTGTTTTTCTTCGTTGTTATTGTTTTTGTTATTGCTAATGATTTTGTTATTCTAATGCCTTCATTATTGAAGTTGTGCTTTTATTATTTATTATTTTGCACAAGAACAAAAAAAGCAAACCGTGAACTAATGAAAAATTAGTCCACGGATAGGAAAATAACATTGGGAGATACAGTGATGACGACACGAATTACTTATAATATTTATTATATAATTGCTATTATCATCGAATACTATTATTAGTATAATTGGTATTATGTTGATATGTGACGTATGAGCTCATAATATTGTTTAAACATTGTATTTTGATTTTAAAAAAAAATTATATATTTTAAAAATTTATTTTATGAATGTTGTGGATCTTATGAAGTGAATCTATTCAGTAACATTATGAACAAAACAAACTAATTGAACGAATGATTGATTGATTGATTGTGTGATTAGTTGATTAATTGATTGACTACTGGCTGTATGATGGTTGGTTGGTTGGTATATTGCCTAATTGGAAATTATCTGAGATTTATTTAAGAATGTCAACATAAGTCATTACGCATGATAGTCGTTGGATGTAGGCCCATCTGGATTTATCCGATCCAGTTGTTGTTTAAACAAAGTTTATATAACAATGTTATCAGTAACCAGCTTCGAAGTTCACACATCGTATTATTTGTATAAATAGAGTTTCATCCTCAAATTAATATTCTACTTTACTATCGTTATCAGAAATGATATTATTTATCCCTTAATGCCTACGCAAGTTGGATCTAAAAATCATGTCTATGATATAAGAACCAGAACATAGATATCGTCAATCCACAGAGTCTCGATTCGCTTGTAAAGGTAAGTACTATACTTATGTTGCTAACTTTCTGACTTTCGGTTTCAAATGGCTACCATTTATATAACTTTTTTTGCTCATGTTCAGTGTTGTTCTCTGATTGATAATATGATAGTCCACATTGTACATGCAGGAGAAAGACATTACAGTATTAAATAATGTTTTTCTTATTATTTTAAATTACATACGGTAGTTCCCACATGAAGTCCAAATGCAAATGTTTGTGGTAAGATTGTCTGGTCGCATGTAGTTTAACTCTATTTTTGCTGTACCATTGTTGATTTCTAACTCGTTTATTGCGGCAATACAGTATGCTTAAATGTTGTAACCCTTCACTTTTTATATACCATATTTGAGATTTAAATTATGTATAATTATATTGTATAATTATATGCTATTCCTTTTCTTTTTCTTTGGTACCGGTAATAATTGTTAAAGCAAGGGGTCGAAAGCGGTCCGACTGGTCCGGTTTTGGCCGGACCAATAATACAACTCACTATCGTTTGTAAGCCAAATTGTACGTTCTCTGAAGCAACCTCTCATTTTTTTACAAAATTAAATGACCATGTTTCAATCAACAAATATTTAAACGAGTCAACCTCGTCTACTACATGTAGTATGAACCACGGACGTTTGTTTTTCGTAAATAGGTGTTAAATTAAAATTACAATTACTGTTTGTTAAAACGTAATTTAGGTTGGTATGTATTTCAATCACTAAATATATTACCGAAAGCATCCACACTTAGAGTGGATCACGTGCTCACCACATAGAACAGCATGGTCTTTCTCTCTAATCAACTGTCAATGTTGTTTAGGTTAGAGCCGTCGTGGAAAAATATGTTTGAATATAAAAATAACAATACTGGTATTTGTTTTGACTTACTTTATTTGTGATGATTAAATATTTTACAAAAATACACGCATTATTATTCTATGCAATATGACGGACGAGGTTGATTATTGGTCCATTCTCCGTAGAGTGGATCACGTGGTCTCTGCACAGCGTGGTCTTCCTCCTCGATGTTCTTCGCGCTCGATCCGACTAAAACAGTTGGAGGTTTGTGTTGTTATGAATTTAAATAAGAATTGCTGAATACAGTATACGGTACTACAGGCCAAACATTGTAGTAAAAAGAAACAAAATAAATAAATAAATAAATGAATAATTAAATAAATAAATTCTGCTCTTTAGTCACCTGGTTGGTGACCCCTCTCTCTTTGTCTGGAGTAGTACTACGTACTTTTAATTGCCAATTTCAATTTGTAAGTGTAGTCCTCTATGTATTTTTTGTTGATTAAGTTAATTTTTTTTTTATAATTTCGTTTGTTCTTTTATAAGTTGTACAATGTGGATTCACCACCTTTGTGTGTGCCAACGATATAAAGGTACTGTAATTTCCCAATCAATACTTACTTACTTATGAAGGCGTGGGTAATGTATTTGAATGTAATTAAAATTGTATTCACTTCGTGATAATTGAATATCTAGGCCTAGAAGAATATCTTTTTGATTTCGTGGTTAGTGATTGTATTTAGTATTGTTCCATGTTGAGGCGTAGGCTTGGATAAGTTGTCAAGTGTGGTCTTTCAAATGACGTGAGTAGAGTCGAGAGTAAAAGAATACATATACAGTATTTGCAGCTCATATCACTTTTATTTAAAAAGTTACACAATGATTTAATAATTCATTTAATGATTGAAATAAAATACTAATGTAGTCAAATACGTTTAATAAAAACAGCAAAATTATAATTAAACTATATTTACGAACGTCGAACTTCGTGGTTAAATCTTTTTGAGTTTTAACTGTTTACAAAATAGGTGCGGAACCAATTCGGGAAAAACTCTTAATCTTAAAAGGAGCCTATATAACAATAATGCTCAATAAGCGTATAGGGGTGACGTGCCCACGTGTCACATGTTTGTGTACCATATTCTCCTATCGACTAGATATTATCACCACAGATAATTTAATTTGACATTGTTTATTTAAGGCTCGAAGCAAACAGAATTTTATTAATGTAGACCAACGAATGGTCTCACTAACTTGTTTGATAAGAGCAGGTGGCCACCAGTTGGTCTAAGACCACGATAAAGAGCTCGTTTTGTGACTTTTTCTACATTGTATTGTTTGCAATTTTAATTACTGTATGTATTTATTTTCTTTTTATTACTTTAGTTTTGGATGCACCATTATTGTAATGGGTGCCGCTGTTGCAAAAGCGTTTTCTAAATAAATAAATAAATAAATAACTATGCGCCTGGTAAATTCGGACGAATAAGTGATTAAATCATTTTGTCAATTTTATTTTCAGTTTATGAATAGTAGGATTCGATTCGATAGCTAACATCATGAGGGGTATCATCGCATTAGTGACTTATTTGGTAGTTTGCGTTTCGTCTATGCCGTCGATGGCGCCCTTCCACAGGGTCAAGGAAGCAGTTCCAGACAGTTATATCATTGTTTTGCACGTACGTCTCATTTTCCCATCGATGAGTTTCCTTCTGTTTGTCAGATGCAATATCATTTAGGACTTCAAACTTATTTAAATATCCATAACACATGACCGTTATTACAAATTATTGTTTGATCACATTTTTTTTTATTAATCGCAATGCTTAAAGCTGCCTTTACATCGGACGAACCGAAATTCGGACCGCGTCTCCGGTGTGCTGCTATGCTCTGAACGCCCAGCGTCCCAATTCTTTAATTCGAATTTATGATCGGTTCGAGGTTTTCCGATCCGAACATTGGATTCGGTGTGAAAGCAGCTTTAATCGCATCCTTGACCGAAGTTACTAATTTCTATGAAACGCCGTTCAAGCAACAATTCAATGATAGCCAGTGAACCGTCGATCTTGAAACAAGTAAATCGTCAATGATGAAATGTGAACCGTCGATGATGAAAACAAAAAATGAATCGTTATTTACTTGTTTCATCATCCTCGGTTCATTTGTTTCATCATCGACGATTCACTTGTTTCATCATCGTCGATTCACTTGTTTCATCATCGACGATTTACCGGGCGATTTACTTTTTTTTTCATCATCGACGGTTCACTGGTTGTCATCGCATTGTTGCTTGAATGGCGTTCCATACATTTTCTTAAAAAGTGCCGTAATAATCATAGTTTGTTATTATTTCAGGCTAATGCCGATACATTGAAAGTGTCTGCTGAACTCAAGTTTCTTGTCCAAACTGCTGATCTAGATTTTGGCGTCGATCGTATGTATAAAACCGTACTCAATGGATTTGCTGTGTCAATGCCGCCAGCCGCTGTAGATATGGTAGGCCTTTTGTATACTAATTATTATCTCAAACAGTTTTCATTCCGAAATTACTAGAAATAAGCTTATCAAACGTTGGAAGGCGAGGAACTCGGCCAATCTATAGGATTATCATGAATATTCATGGCCTACTAGTCACGGATGCATTTTTCTTTTGCATTGTCGAAATGATCGAACTTAATTTTCTGCTATAGATGAGGATGTTTATAACGTTTAAATGGCTCTGATATACATGATTCTATAGCCCTACGAACAGTAGTTGTTATAGGCTACAGATGGAAGCTTTAAATAGGCCTATGTGATAGGTGTTCTTGGTATTTTTGTAGGATAGGCCACCACAGAATAAATTGTAGATTGTTGAAAGACAAATGGTCATTAATTAATAAACAGCATCATTTCTTTAGCTACACATTTACCTGAATCTTTCAGGTGCGACGACATCCCTCTGTGAAATATATGGAGCAAGACAGCGTGGTACATGTGATGGATGAGACATGGGGTCTTGATAGAATCGATCAACGGGGGCTTCCCCTCGACCACACATTCCTCCCAGAGGGTTAGTATTCATGTTCCGTTGTTACGGATCCAGAGATGTCCACAAAAAGGGTGAGGCGGGGGTGGGGGTGCAATGGAGAGACAACTCTACCCTGGATTTGTTTATCTAGACGCTCTGAAATTACCTCTAAGGCGTTTTGGGCGATCAGTAATTTCTTTTTCTTTTTTTTAACTTTCTAAATCTACCCCTGTGGGGCGGGCACCCCCTAAATCCTTCCCTGGATGATGTATGCATTACCTGACGATCCGTGTTTTTGACGGCCAACAGGGAATGGTGCTGGTGCACATGTATATGTCATCGACACAGGCATCCTTTCGACCCATGAAGAATTTGAAGAAAGGGCTCATTTTGCTTACGACGCAACAAATAACGACAGAGTAAGAAATGAAACATTTTTGTACGGGGTTGAGTTTTGGGGTCGCGGCCTGGAGTGTTGGGGGTTGGAGTGAAACTGTAATATTGTATTTTATTATTTATTGGTCTAGGCCTACTCCACGTCCAAAACCAATTAGTATTACTGACTGACTATAGCAGTTCTGCTTGTACACTTAACACTTGACTCTACTTCCCGGTTCTATTCCGTCTTATGGACGTTTTAAGCATTTGGTTCATATGCAAAATGACACATGTACACGTTACAGAATGCAGCAGGCCCTATTAGGGGTGGCCCCAGAATTTGCCCGAGTTTCTGACGGGGGGGGGGGTAGAAGTGGTCGGGCGTCGCTCATAATCTCTCGCAAGATTTAGAAATTTCAAAAGCATATTTAGTCGATTTTAGAGTCTACTAATAGGCTTTTTTTTCTCACTGAAGAATTATGGTTTTTCTCCCCGACGGGGCCCCCGCTGACGCCACCCCTGGGCCCTCTGTATTCTTTGAAAGAGAGTAAATATTGTCTTCGAGTGTTCTGCTTTGCCCAAATTGTCACTGGGACGACCCAGGAACTAAGTCTTCGGATCTAATGGGGGTGGGGGGTTAAGCTTGCCGATCATATTGTAGGATATTGAGATCAGTATCAACCGACTAAATAAAAAATATAGAATATTGCATTTCTACACAATTTTATTTGATATCTCTTACAATTATTTTCCAGGGAAGTGGAACAGATTGCAATGGGCATGGAACTCACTGCGCCGGTACAATTGCGGGCAAACGATATGGCGTTGCTAAGAAAGCTAACGTGTACGGCGTAAGGGTTCTAGGGTGCCTTGGATCCGGTACTAACGCCGGTGTTATTGAAGGTTAGCGGTATATTGATATTTAATTTTTATTACTTGAGGTCCAAAGCTTACTCATAACAACGTTTGTTATGTAGGCCTATATTAAGTGGTTATTCATTTCATGAGAAAAACATCTTATTTTATTATAGGCCTAGAGGAGTTGATTTAGTCATCAGATAAATTCATACCACTAGACAGGATTTGAACCCAGGATCGTGGGACTGAAAGGCAAACCGGGCACTCACTGCGTCGTACGACCGTCGCATGTCGAATCCAACTCCGCCCTGTGAGCGCTAGACGAAGCGACGCCGTCTGCAGTCGAAACAGATCGTCATTAAAATCGATATAGTTGCGTTCTTCATAGAATCGCGTCGGCCGTCGGCCGCAGTGAGTTCTCGGCTTTAAAAACCGAGTTACAGTTCCTTTCTTGTTATTATTTTGGAATGGGGGTAGGAATCAATTGTTTGTGAATGACTCACTGCTATTGATTTTCTGGTTATGGACGGATGGATGCATGGTGAACCATCGTCAAATGGATGAAAACCAATGTAGAAAACTGAGCCGAAAAATGTGAGGTGAATACAATTTTCTTTGATGTTTTCTGTCTGTTCAATGTAATTTTAGGAATGGACTGGGTTGCACAAAACGCACAAAAGCCTGCAGTCGCATCGATGTCCCTTGGTGGCGGAGCAACGACAACAACGGACGATGCCGTGGACCGACTTACTGATAAAGGTATCACTGTGGTCGTCGCTGCTGGTAATAGTAATGAGGACGCCTGTTTGAGCTCCCCTGCAAGAGCTTCCAGTGTAAGTATACTCTACATCGTCATTAGCCATGTTCTCACGATCACTCCTATTTGATGCAAGTTATTGAGAAATCCAGTCAAGGCCGCATCAAATTTTATTGTATGTCTACACGAGAGTTATAGCGGATAGTTATAGCGCATATACACATATAAATGTTGAAGATTAAAATTATTTTTATTGATCTCATGATGATGTTTCAATAAAAGACGACAAAACAGAAATTACATTAGGCGAGGGCCTGCCTGGGCTAGGCCTGCTTTGAATTGGTTGGCCATCCCAACTATCGACAAATAAAAGGCAAAATCCAATGTTTTTATCTTCACTTGGTAGAGCATTCCGAAAAAGGGGAATTAAAACTCTCTAAATTTTTTATTTCTCACCTACCCAAAGCCTACCTATTACCATTTAGGAGATTTTCGACAGCATTTATAACCCACGTTGTTCGTGGTTCTTCTTGCTAGAATGTGTAAATTGCAGTGGCTAAAGATAAGGCTACCGTATTAGCTGTAATTTTAAAATCATGTACGTACAGTATCTCACCGGCGTTCACCGTATCTCGTTCAGCTGTATCTTTAGACACAGCGAACAAACTACCACGGTATTTTGTGGATTTCCCCAAAAAAGACATGAATATTTATATGAAGTTTACAACGAACGGTAATAATATAAATTTGTCCTGTAATGTTTTATTTGGATTATTTTGACAATTATAAAGTTAAAAGGTAATTTTAAAGATGCTTTGGTTGATATTGAACAACTATAAGCCTAGTAGAATTGCGAGACCGTGGCCAAGCTACATATGTTATTGCAATCAATACGTGGCAAGTTAATTAACAGAAAGTTAAAGTTCTGTCGGATGAGAGCCTTGCCAATCCGGTCATTTGTCGGTGTTAGCTTGCGGGGTGAAGCGCTTGTATTCTATCAGGTGACCCCGTTCATACGGTCGGTGTCAGCCTCATAACAAGCGATTGTTAGATAACTACGATATCACCGGTGTAACTTACACCGTCGGCAGGGGCGGATCCAGGATTTGAAAGAGAGGGGTTCATTTTCCCATAAACCCAAAATAAAAGGGGGCCCGGGGTCCTCACCCGGGAAAGTTTAGAGTCCTAGATGGCCGGAATCAACATTATTGAGTAGTTGGATACGTAGTCTTTCTTCCATAGATTGATGAACTGAGGCCTGAAGAACACACTTTCGTTCATAAATTATTACGACGTCGAGCCAAAACTGTTTTTAATTGTATTTAATTGAGTGCTATAGTTGTTCTAAGCCTATTTTGTTCGATCTGCCAACAGGTTACATAGTTACCAACCTGAAATAATTCAAATACGTGATTTCAAACGCGGGCCGGCGACCAGCAAAGCCCCCGTCGGGGTCCGGGGTCGGGCCCCGGTGGGGGTTGGGGGGCGATAACCACTGGGCGTTCTGACGATCTTATCGTTGAGTGTTTATTGACAATATCAGGTACATACACAAAAATATTTTTAATAAAGCCACGTACAATTCGAGTTTCAATGTATGTTTAATTTTGAGCACCCGAATTATGCACACAAACATTCATTACTCACAAACATGCGGTGGTGAACCTTTCCTAACATTCGACAATCTTTCCACCCCTCCTGTTATACTCCTACACCCCTGATTCTTAATTAATTTGTTTAAAGGGCCAACATTTATTTTGAGTTGAACTCATGGGCCAAAAAGATAAAGGGCCAAAAGATTAAGCAAGTCGTTATGTGTTTGGTAATTTCAAATTCTACTTTTTGTTTCAATATATGGTAACAAATTCTGTAACTTTAAGCAAAGAATACGTACACAATTATCAATTTTCTGTTCACATTCTAGTTGGTTAAAACAATAAGAAATTGCATTCGGTGTATAATAAATGTTAGTAACATAAACATTAAAAATATATATAATACGCATACTTTATAAAACATAAATTGACCTAATTTTCTGATAGATAAACAAATTAAATAAAATTAATCAAATGAAATATATTTAATGGTATAGGCGTAATTGCTACCATGAACCGTAACACATAATTTGATATAAAAGTAGGCGTATCGTAGAAGATAAATACTAATGAGCATTGACCTCAAAAGTACTGTCGAAGTACAGAAATAATACTTCCGCTACTTGCTGGAGTGTTTTTTGTGGATGCAGAGAAATAGGTATATAGAACGACTAGAAAAAGGTATGATATCGAAATTCCAAAAGAGGAAACATGTTATAAAGATATCCTGTTTTCTTTCCTCTATTTCTTATGTAAAACCGGATTTAAACTTTCAAAACGTTTCTACAATGTGTATTTATGCTCCATCAATACTGTATTGCGAATACATCAATAGTCAATTAGTCAATTGATTGAATAACGCTTTTGCATCATCGGCACACCTTTTTAATGTAACCTTACAACGACTAGACAATAGGTAATTGATATAGAGAAAACACAAAATAAAAAATAAAAAATAAAAAAAAATAGGTTCTCTCTCTTATAAAGTATAATGAAAATAACCTTATGGAAAAAAAATCAATAGGAAAACTAGGAGGAACAATGCATCGAAAAAATGGGGAGAAATAGCCTGGGGAATAACTCTCTAGAAAAAAAAATCCGTGGGGAAAATTAGCAGGTGGCAAGTAGCCACCGTAATAGTGCTATATTCTAAAGCCTCAAACCACTTCGATGTTAAGTCTACTAAATTTAAAAATCTTCCAAGGCTTTTCCAGTTATAGCTAGAACTAACTTAATCTTTGGCGTTTATTGAGAGCAGATTTTTTAAGATTTCAGTGGGTTAACCCGACTCAAAGACAAGCTTGCGTACAAACCAAGCAGCATGCACATTCATCTTCTATACGGTACAACAGGAGCCATGTTCACACGCATGATCTTTTTAAAACTACGAAATCAAAATTTTGAAAACAAGGACAAAAAAAAAAAAAATTCTCCCATATTACAGAAACTTCTTTTTGGATGAAGTTGAAACTAATACAAAAATAAATTCTTTTGTATTTAAAATAATTTTTTAAAATGAATTAAGAAACATTAGAAATTCAAGATTTAATACCAGGACCCAATAGTGTTTTGTTACGTTTCTTCACAGAGGGGGTTCGTCCGAACCCCTTGAACCCCCACTGGATCCGCCACTGGTCGGAACAAGGCTATCATCTTAACTTTGTCTCAGTCTTAACCATAACAGCCACCATCGCCATGCATAATTTAATCATTGAATTGATTATTATTCATCAGGAACAATGTCATAGTCGAAGATTACAAAGGTACAGAGTTGTTTGTGCGTGTATGGTACAGTGATCAGCGGCTTTATGTCCTATCTACAGAATGAGTTATAGGCCGGGTGCTCAGAAAAGCAAAGATCATGATAATTACAGGCCTGATAATTTGAGGTAGTTTGATTTAATATTTTACTCTCCATAATACTATTTTCTGTCCATAACAGGCGATTACTGTTGGAGCATCAAACATCAAGGACGCTCGCGCCTCTTTCTCCAACTACGGAGGGTGTGTTGATTTGTTTGCACCCGGAAGAGACATTACCAGCTCATGGAATGAAGATGATTCGTCCTATAATACTATTAGCGGTACATCCATGGCTTGTCCACACGTTGCAGGTATGTGCATCCAGACATCGGAACTCTCGCACGCGCACGAACTTTTGAGTCATTATAGGTCCAGCGCACACTGTATGCCCCGACGGGGGGGGGGGGGGCGGGGTTCCAGCTTCCCGACAAGGGTTCAACTCCCCTACCCCATCGGGGAAGCCTACCCCACCCCCTTCTGGTAGGGTAAAAAAATTTGACGGCGATTTATTTATTTTTTATTAAAAGATAATACAATTTTGTGTTATTTATTTAAAAAGAATGTCGGGGGTACTAGTCCTCCTGTAGGAGGTACCTGACCCCTGTCGGGGATGAGCTGGCGCACCTCTGCAACGCATACAGTACGATCGCAATAGTATACAACACCTTGCATATACGGCAGCACTGCTCGCACTAAACAGTTTTTAATCCCTAAAATGTTGACAGCTTAGTAAGGCGTTTGAATTGTACTTTCGGCACTCGAGATTTGATTTTTCCCCGACGACCTTGCTGGAAATTCCCCGACAGGAGGTCCCACAGGGGGGTCCTTTCCCCTTGGACCCCGCTAGCGCTGCCCTAGACTGGGTTCCAGTCCCTAATCTTTGTCTTAATCAGTTGAAATTCTTAAGAATAAATCGATTTTGGCACAAATGGCGTTCCATATTACTTATTTGCATGGCGTTCCATAGTATACTTTTTCGGGTTTGCAGACATCTACAGTATTTGAAATAGGCCTACATATTAGTTTTGACATACAGTAATGTAATTGTTGTAGTTAATATAGCATTAAATAATAATAATTCTGTATAAATATTTAATTTTTCAAACTGGCTAAGATCTAGGAACCTCAATTTGCTACGTACGACGAATGGGTGAATATCATCGTATCTATGGACAATTGCATCCTTTGCATAAAGCTGTATTTCCGAA